GCGAGGACTTGTCACACACGGTGTGTGAGTGGTTTTCGCAACCAGGCTGCTGTGAGGCTCTGGCCAGGCTGGGTCTGAGGTCGGCGTCTGCCCAGCCACGAGGGTCAGTGACCCCGCCACCCGGCCCGGGCCTCCTTGGCCCTCACGTGGCGATGGCGCTCGCCTCTCCCGGCCCTTCCCCCTCCAGAAAGACGCTGTGTGGCTCCACGCCTTCCCCCTGTTCTCTTACAGCACCGTCTTCTTTGCAAATGTGTGAGCCCTTGGGCGTTAATTAGAGCAAATGTGTCAGAGAGAAAACCCTGACACCGGTTTCTGGGTCCATACCTTTGCACTCCTCCGGCGAACCTGGACAATCTGGTCCGATCCGGTCATCTCACCGCCGGGGAAACAGGCTCCGGCGCAGTGCTGACCGCGTTCCTTGGCGGAGCCCGGCCAGTCCAACCGTCCCTCCTCCCTCTCGCTCTTCCCCGGCCGCAGGCTCCCGCCCACCGTCTCGCGTGACCTGTTCCGGAGGCGCAGTTCCCCGCGGTCTCACCGCCCGGCGGGGCAGAGGGGACAGGGCTGACCGCGGAGCAGCCGGGCCTGGCGGCAGCGCGGCCCACTGGGCACCCGCAGGGCCACGGCCACCCCACACAGGGTCCCGTGTGGCAGGGCGGGTGGGCGACACGTGCCTCAGGGCGGGCTGAACAGCATCGCGTAAAAAGCACGTGGGATGCCGATGGGAACACATCATTTGTGTGGTCCTCCTCTCTCTCGCCTGCTTTGCTCAAAAATTAATTTTAAAAAGTTGTTTTTTAAAGTGAGGGTTTTGTCGTTGTCACTTGCTTGCTCTTTTATTCTTGGTCAAACCCATCCCCTCTCTATGCCCCCACCACCCAAACATGTGAAGCCAGCCCCAGCACAGGGCCCAGGTAGCACGTGGGGGAGGTAGCGGGAAGGCTGGTTCTGGCCCCTTCCTACCGTATGGCTTTGTCTTTTTTCTTTTAGATTTGTCCTCGGCCGTTATTCTCCTTGGAGCAGTCAATGAGCAGCTCCTGTCCCCAGGAGGCCAACGCCTGAGCAAGAGTTGCTCCCCACAGCAAGCTGCCCACAGGCAGGGAGCAGAGGAGACGCTGAGGGCCGCGTCCAAGGGGTGGGCAGTGCGTGCTTCCTGGACCGCTGTCCGCCGAGGGCCTGACCCCAGCAATGCTCTCTCTGCCCCTGGGAACCCAAGTTGCCAGGAATGGTGACAACTGGCGTGTTGTTCCAGAAGCCGGGCCCTGCCTGGCCTCCATCTCCCAGCGCCTGAACCAACGTTGATCGAGCGCCAATGCCAAGCTTTCTCTGCAGGTGGAGGATGCCGCTCTGAGGGCTCTGGGCTGCAGGCTCCTCTGTGACGGTACCCAGGCCTGGATGGTGACTGACAAGATGTCGGCTGAAGCCATAAAACAAGCCCTCCTGCCAGGAAACTGCTGGGATGTCCTGCTCCGGCCTCACACTGTCCCCGCCCGGAGATGCAGGCCCAGTCCTGGCTCCCCACAGGCACGCCCTGGCCTCGCCTGAGGGACACACCCTGCTTCTGCCGGCCCAGCCTGATGGCACACCTGTGGCTGCAGGGCAGCATCACCTGCGAGCAAACACACTGCGGGGCCCGGGCCCAGCCCAAACAAGGAAGTCCGAATCTCTGGGGGTGGGGCCGAATGATTCTAATGTACAACCAGCACTGGGCCATTGGATCGTTCCTACCCGCCTAGGGGACCTAGCTGAAGCCCCATTCCTCCAGGAAGCCTTCCTGGACTTACCCCCCGCAGTGACCCTCCTCCTCTGAGCTCCTGGGGGCCATAGGAGGAGCCGGGCACCGGGCACGGAGGGCAGCCCGCTTTGATGGCAGGCAGGAAGCAGAACCCAGGCTCTGCTCCTCGTTCACTGTGTATTCCAGGTCACGTCACCAAACCTCTCCGAGGCAGTTTCCTCGTCTGCAACACGGGCATTAATAAAACCTGCCTCACAGGCTGGCGTAAGATGCTTCCAGTGGCCCATGCCTACCTCACGTTCCTCCACTTCCAAAACCACGGGCTCCCACAAGCCCAGAGTGAGCCATTCCCCAGGGACCTCCCACCCTGCGTGCACCCACCTCCTCCTCCATCCTGGGTGCTGGGAGCACTCCTCACACTTCCTTCCAGGAACATCCTGAGCCTCCACGTGTGCCCTCGCAGGTGGCCGTGAGAAAACCATCCTGCAGGCCGCCCCCCATGAGGAGCTCCCCTCATACGACCCATCCAGCAGCCGGCGGAGCCTGCCCAGCGAGGGGCTGGCAGGGGCACAGGCGGACACCTGTGCAGAGCTCCGGCTGCTCCGAAAGCATCCTACAGGCACCCGGTCCTAGGGAGGCCGGCTCTCCTCCCCACCGGCCAGGGGACCCGCCCAAGGTCACAGTTAGCAAGTTCTAGGGCTGGAGTTGAGACTACCCAGTCATTGGGAACAATAGGTCCAAAAAGAGAGAAATGGTTAAATTTACAGAGTACGTCACATGGTGGAATCCTATGCAAATATCCAAGTCACGTCTTCAAATAACTCTAATAGCACAAGGTTCATAATGGGTTAAAGGAAAAGGGCAGGCAAAGAGTGATAAAGATGTACTTATTGGCAAATAGACAAATATAGATTGCATGTACTATATAGGATGTCCCCAAAACTGTATACACACTTTTAATCATTATTAATTCCAACGTTTCTTTTCAGATTTAACCCATTGGAATTAATAATTATTTAAAATCTGCATACATTTTGGGGGATACCTGTATTTGCAATGATATCAAAAAAGTCTCTAAGTTACTCCTGGTCCTCCCTCAGTAGATCAGTCCCTGCCTCCCAGCCCCCCCCACCTCCCCGCATGCGGGTGAATCAAGAGGCATGTGCTGACCAGGAGTCTGTCCTGGCCCCCCCTCTGTGGACACCCTTTTAGTAAAAAATGACACCGAGGGCGAGAAGAATCACAGTCCTGCCAGAAGGTGGTGTTTATAAAGTTTTTATTTTTCCATTTTCTTAAAAATAACATTTGCTTTCCTTTATGCAGGAGTGGGTGTACTGGTTTCCTTAGGCTGAGTACTAGGCAGATAAGACAACACGAGGCAGGTCCCCACGTGGAGGCGGGCTCGGGTGTGCGAGGCGGGGCCACGGGGAGGGAGAGGGTGGGTGACCCTCGGGTCGCCGAGTGCCCGTCGATACATACACACACGGTCTAACACTTCGTTTTTCGGGTTTTTTTTTTTTTTTTTTAAGACATCTAAGATTACTGAGAGATATGATTTCAGCACTTAAATATACAGACGGGAATCCAAGCACTTGGACACAATTTCTTAACTCTAAGCTCAGTTATTGCACACGACACGGTTGAAGTAGCTTCAGGCTATAAAGCAGTTTGCTCCGCTTGGGACTTCCTCGGGGTGTCCGAGTCCCCCTTGGCACCCCTCGTGGCTCTCTCCTGTCCCCCACCCAGCACCCAAGGTGCCCTCCTCACAGCCCAGGCCCCAAGAGATGGCCCCTCGTCTCACACAAAGTGCCTGCACATGCATACACACACATACACACACATTCACACACACACACACATATACCCCACGCACACATACACACACACACGCTCACACTGCCCTCTCCAAACACCGAACAGCATCAGAGCCCCTCTGGGTGAGTAGGATTCGCCTCAGCAGGGAGCACTGGGCCGGTTGGCGGGGAGCAGGGCACCTCCTCCCCCACCCTGACTCCCTCCTGGGAGAGATGTGGGGGACCGGGAGGCCTGGCCTCGGGGCCTGCCCACTGGGTTTCAGAGCCAGAGAAGCCCTGCCCGGAGCAGCCGTGGGGCCCTCCGAGGGGCCACAGGGACCGCAGGGCCGCGGGGCTGGCGCAGGAAGCGGCCCGGGCACAGGGCGCCTCCCGGAGGAGGTGGGAAAGGCCATGGTCTCGGGCGGGAAGGCTGCCCGTGTCCACTGCTCCCCTCGCAGGGGCTCGGGGACAGCCCTGCCTGTGGCCTGTGTGGGAGGGGGGCATCACTGAGGGCTCAGGGAGGAGCTGGTGCACAGACGCCCCGCTCTCGCCGCTGCCTGGTCCTCAGGCTCCCGAGGGGACCGGGGCCCAGCCAGGGGGACGGGAGCAGGTGCCCCACGTGGCCAGGCAGAGCTCACTATGGAACACCAGCGGCTCTGAGGGATGCCCCATCCGGAGCCACAGGAGGAGGCTGGGTGTCTGGTCTGGCTGTCAGGGCTGCCCTGTCTGTGCTCCTGAGCCTGGGTTTGCAGCGGCTGCTTTCCCAGCGGCCACCCCACCCGCTCTACTCCGCTCTCCGCCCCTCCCTGCCCACAAAGGGAAGGCCTGCTGTGCTGGGGCCTGAGGCTGTCGGGCGGTCAGGGTCAGGGCCAAACTGGCCGAGCTTTGGGAAGGCCCCAGCGCGCACACAGCTTCTTGCCCGCCCTCCCCTCTGCAGTGGGACCTGCCAGCAGGCTAGAGCTTGACCCTCAAGGCGGAGGGAGAGGACAGGCAGGAGCAGGGGGAGTCAGGGCTGGCCGGCGGAGGGCAGCCACTCAGGACCAGGGTGCCAGGCAGCCTGGATGCGGCCAGGGGGCGTGGCTAGTGGGGCATCCAGGTTCATCAATTTTGACCTTGCAGTGGGTATACGTGTGTGAACGGGTATGTTTTAAAACCAACAAGTGGAACGAAAATAACAACAAGGAGGCCAAAGGGTGTTTGGTCCCCAGGAGCAGTGTGCACCAAGGACAGGTCTGTCAGCACATGCTACACACGCACACACACACACACGCGCACACACACACACGCACACAGGCACACACGCAGGCACACACACGCACACAGGCACACGCACAGGCACACACACGCACACAGGCACACGCACAGGCACACTCACACTCCAGTCCAAGTGGAGCCGGTCCTCCCGCTGTGCTTCCGGGATCCGTCCGTGGGCCGCCTGCTGTGCCGGGTCTTGCCTGCCCGCCGCGGCCGGCCGTCTACCAGATGTAGCCTCCGTCGTCCGCCTCGCCCGCCTCGCCCTCCTCCTCCTCGGCCTCCGCCTCCTCGCCGGCCTCCTCCGGCTCCTTCTCCTCCTCGTCCTCCCAGCCGACGCCGCTCCCAAAGTCCCCCGAGAAGCCCACCACGTCGTCTGTGGTGGACAAGCAGGTCAGGCCCCCCCGCCGCCCCGCCCCCGCCGCCCCGCCGCCCCGCGGCCCTCGGCGCCCGCCCCGCGCCCCGCGCCCCGCCGGCCGCCTTACCGCAGTCGGGGCTGCCGCGCGTGCGGGTGCCGCTCAGCTCCTGGCCCAGCGGGTCCACGCACCAGCAGTCGCCGCCGCTCCGCTCGCACTGCATCTTGCGGTAGTAGCCGTCCTCGTCGCAGCTCGGGATGAAGACCCCTGGGGGGCCAGGCGGAGGGTCCGAGCGGGGCCGCCCCCGCCGGCCCCGACACCGACCGCCCAGAAGCGCGATGCCAGTGTTCCTCCCAGCTGCTCAGAGGGGAGACCGGAAAGCCCGCCTCCCTAGATGGCGCCGCCGTCTCTGCCCACGTCTGTAGGATGGCCAGTCTGACCTCCACCCGCTCCCCCTCCACCCCCGCTCCCCCTCCACCCGGCTCCCCCTCCACCCCGCTCCCCCTCCACCCCCGCTCCCCCTCCACCCCGGCTCCCCCTCCACCCCGCTCCCCCTCCACCCCGCTCCCCCTCCACCCGGCTCCCCCTCCACCCGGCTCCCCCTCCACCCCGCTCCCCCTCCACCCGGCTCCCCCTCCACCCCGCTCCCCCTCCACCCCGGCTCCCCCTCCACCCCGGCTCCCCCTCCACCCCGGCTCCCCCTCCACCCCGCTCCCCCTCCACCCCGCTCCCCCTCCACCCGCTCCCCCTCCATCCCGCTCCCCCTCCACCCCGCTCCCCCTCCACCCCCGCTCCCCCTCCACCCGGCTCCCCCTCCACCCGGCTCCCCCTCCACCCCGCTCCCCCTCCACCCCGGCTCCCCCTCCACCCCGGCTCCCCCTCCATCCCGGCTTACCCTCTAACCCCCCTCCACCCTGCGGCCCCTCCATCCCGCTCCCCCTCCACCCCGCTCCCCCTCCACCCCGGCTCCCCCTCCACCCCGCTCCCCCTCCATCCCGGCTCCCCCTCCACCCCGCTCCCCCTCCATCCCGGCTCCCCCTCCACCCCGCTCCCCCTCCATCCCGCTCCCCCTCCATCCCGCTCCCCCTCCACCCCGCTCCCCCTCCACCCCGCTCCCCCTCCACCCCGCTCCCCCTCCATCCCGGCTCCCCCTCCACCCCGCTCCCCCTCCACCCCGGCTCACCCTCCATCCCGGCTTACCCTCTAACCCCCCTCCACCCTGCGGCCCCTCCATCCTGAGTGCCTGCTGCTGGCAATGCCCGTGCTTCTCCTCCCAGCCCCTCTGACCTGCCTACAGCCCCCAACCCCCACCCCGCCTTCCCTCCGGCTACGGAGGCCACCTCGCTGGGGGCCCAGAGACGGGCTCTGCCCACTGGGGGTGAGGCACGTGGAGGGAACACCAGGCGGTGCCCGAAGGCCCAGCAGGCGGCCGGTGCTTCCCGGCAGGCACGGCGCTAAGGCCGCCCTGGAGGCCCCCTCTCGGCCGGCCGGCCGGTGTGCTCGCCCAGTGGCTCCCGTGTTGTCCACGTGGACTGGCCTCTTCAGCCCAGTCCAATGCCAAGCGGCCCTCAGGGAGCCAGGCGGCCCCACGCTCTGCCCTCAGACCTCTGTCCCCTCAACCACCACACTCCAGGGGCCCCCTCTTTCTGTCCCCCCAAACCTGGAGCATCTTCCTGCCCTCAGCTCTGCACTCGGCTGGCTCCCCCCATCCCTCGGGCTCCCCTTGTAGCCAGCGGCCCAGAGAGGCTCAGGCAGCCACAGGGGGGGGGGGGGCGTGGGCGGGGCCGGGCTACTGGGGGGGATGGGGGGATGGGAGGAGTGGGGGCAGGGGGCTCACTCAGGCTCTGTACTCACTGAGAGGAAAAGCTGAAGTGAATAAAATGGGGCGGGGGGGGGGGGGTGTTCTAGGAACCTTTTGTGTCCCAACCTCCTGCTCCATGGGGTGGGGAGTGGGGAGGCAAACCTGAGCGCTAAAATACCCTCCCTGGGGCTGGCTGGATGAAAGCGGGAAGGGCACTCCGCTCCTGTGTCCTAGGCCAGGTCCGGGCGCCCTCCCTGCGCCCCGCTCTGCGCCCCCCCCCCCCCCCCCCCGCGCCTCACCTGGCTTCTTCTTGGCGGCCTCCTGGATCTGGATGCGCTCCAGCTCCGCCAGGCAGGGGGGCTCTGCGGGGAGAGAACCGCTGAGGGGGTGCCCGGGGCAGGGAGGATGCGCTGTGCCCCCACCCCAAGGCTTACAATCCCGGCTCTGCAGGATGAAAATAGCCCCGTCAGATCCGGAGCCACCCACAGTGGGGGGCGAGGGGGATGTGCATTGATCCCTTTAACGTCAGAGGGGTGCCAAGAGACAAATACCCAGGCTGCAACGGGGGCCAAGTACCCAGGCTGCAACGGGAAGCCAAATACCCAGGCTGCAACGGGAAGCCAAATACCCAGGCTGCAACGGCCATTCCAGGGCTGTGGGGTAGGCTGAGGCCCCAAGAGGCCAAGGGCTCTCTGAGGGGGTGGGTGACCCATGGGTGAGTTAATAGGACTCAAAAGAGGGGTGAACGCACATTCCCCATGAGTATGGGCCCCAGGGGAACATAAGACAAGGGGGGATGTCAGAGGGAAGCCTGAAAATCCCTGGCAGCCACATCTAACTTCTCTGTGACCTTGAGAAGACCTGAGCCCTTCCAGCGGGCAGCCCGGCTGAGGGTAACATGAGACCCGTTCCCCGGCTCCTGCCAGGCTGGTGCACAGAATCTACAGAATGAGCGTGGAGGCCGGGGGAGAGGATGGGAGGGGAGGCCAGGGGAGTGGAGACTGGGGGAGAGGATGGGAGTGGAGGCCTGGGGAGAGGATGGGAGTGGAGGCTGGGGAGTGGAGTCCTGGGGAGAGGATGGGAGTGGAGGCCGGGGGAGAGGAAGAGTGGAGGCCGAGGAAGAGGATGGGAGGGGAGGCCAGGGGAGAAGATGGGAGTGGAGGCCAGGGGAGAAGATGGGAGTGGAGGCCAGGGGAGAGGATGGGAGTGGAGGCCGGGGGAGAGGAAGAGAGTGGAGGCCGGGGGAGAGGAAGAGAGTGGAGGCCGGGGGAGAGGATGGGAGTGGAGGCCGGGGGAGAGGATGAGAGTGGAGGCCGGGGAAGAGGATGGGAGTGGAGGCCTGGGGAGAGGAAGAGAGTGGAGGCCGGGGAAGAGGATGGGAGTGGAGGCCGGGGGAGAGGATGGGAGTGGAGGTCGGGGAAGAGGATGGGAGTGGAGGCCAGGGGAGCAGATGGGAGTGGAGGCCAGGGGAGAGGATGGGAGTGGAGGCCAGGGGAGAGGATGGGAGTGGAGGCCGGGGGAGAGGATGGGAGTGGAGGCCAGGGGAGAGGATGGGAGTGGAGACTTGGAGGAGGAGCGATACAGACAGCTGGGAGGCTGGGCAGTCAGGTCAGGGGCAATCAAATGACCCCGGCCCTCGCTCAGCCGAGTGGTTTCTCTGTTGCACAGTCTCTGCACCCAGATTATCTCCCTTCGTGCTCACAGCCGTCTCTGAGGTCGGTCCTGTCACCTCCCGAGTCAAATGAAGAAACGGCAGGCAGACAGGTCCAGTCCCCTGCCCGGGTGCCCAGCCGCTCACGGAGGGCCGGGCGCTGTCCTGCTCCGACCCCAGAGCACACGGAACCGGGCGGGTAGCAGCGCCCACTGGGGGCCGGGCGGGCAGCAGCGCCCACCGGGGGCCGGGCGGGCAGCACGCCACGTGGCCTAGTCAGTGGTCGGCAAACTCATCAGTCAGCAGAGCCAAATATCAACAGTACAGTGATCGAAATTTCTTTTGAGAGCCAAATTTTTTAAACTTAAACTATATAGGCAGGTACACTGTTATTAACTTAATTAGGGTGCATGGTATTTTGTGGAAGAGCCACACTCAAGGGGCCAAAGAGCCGCATGTGACTCGTGCGCCGCAGTTTGCCGTCCACGGCCTAGAAAACCTCTAGCCCGTGTGAGTGGTTCAGCAACTGATGCGACATCTCTAAGGCCAAGGATCCAGCGGAACCCTGGAGAAGCCAAGTCCCAGGTCGCTTCAGCTTCAGGCCCTTCCCGGCCCTTCCCAGACCCACCAGGGCCCCCCAGAAATGTCACGTGCCTAGTTTGTAACCCTCTTTCTTTAAGAAGGCCAAATGTGCCGAAGCCGGTTTGGCTCAGTGGTAGAGCGTAGATCCGTGGACTGAAAGGTCCCAGGTTCGATTCCGGGCAAGGGCATGTACCTTGGTTGCGGGCACAACCCTGGTAGGGGGGTGTGCAGGAGGCAGCTGGTCGATGTTTCTCTCTCATCAACATTTCTGGTTCTCTATCTCTCTCCCTTCCTCTCTGTAAAAATCAATAAAATATATTTATAAAAGAAGAAGAAGAAGAAGAAGAAGAAGAAGAAGAGGAGGAGGAGGAGGAGGAGGAGGAGGAGGAGGAGGAGGAGGAGGAGGAAGGCCAAATGTGCATAAGCCTCAGCACCCACGTGGGAGCCTGCCAAGAAGGGAGCGTAGGAGCTGGCCTCACGGAGAGTACAGGGGCGGGGGGCTGGGAAAGTCCTGGGACTGGGTAGCTGACCAGGACACAGCCTCTCCGACCCCGCGGAGAGCCGGAGCCGGGGCTGAGCCGGGGGCCGGGGCCGGGGGCGGGCCCAGCTAGGGCCACACTCACTTTCCCGCCAGAAGCAGAGGCACCACTCGGCGGTGGAGACATGGCCGTCCTTGTAGGTGTCGCAGGAGTTGAAGAAAGGGCGGATGCAGACCTCGTACTTGTCCAGGTTGATGGCCGCCAGCTCCATCTGGTCCAGGAAGAGGTCAGCGCTGGTGTCCAGTTTGGAGAACATCCAGCCGATGGAGTCCTTACAGCTGGCCCCCAGGACCTTGTCCAGGCCTGGAAAGAAGACCGAGGTTCCAACACGCTCAAGGTAAAGCGCTCCGCCCATCTGTCCACCCATCATCCGCCCATCCATCATCCATCCATCCATCATCCGCCCATCCATCATCCATCCATCCATCATCCTCCCATCCATCATCTATCCATCCATCATCCGCCCATCCATCATCCTCCCATCCATCATCTGTCCATCCATCATCCGCCCATCCATCATCTGTCCATCCATCATTTGCCCATCCATCATCCATCCATCCATCCATCATCCGTCCATCCATCATCTGTCCATCATCCGCCCATCCATCATCCTCCCATCCATCATCCGCCCATCCATCATCCGTCCACCCATCATCCTCCCATCCATCATCCGTCCATACATCATCCGTCCATACATCATCCTTCCATCCATCATCCTCCCATCCATCATCCGCCCATCCATCATCCATCCATCCATCATCCGTCCATCCATCATCCATCCATCCATCATCCACCCATTCATCATCCGCCCATCATCTGTCCATCCATCATCTATCCATCCATCATCCATCCATCCATCATCTGTCCATCCATCATCTGTCCATCCATCATCTGTCCATCCATCATCTGTCCATCCATCATCCGCCCATCCATCATCCGCCATCCATCATCCGCCATCCATCATCCGCCCATCCATCATCTGTCCATACATCATCTGTCCATCCATCATCCTCCCGTCCATCATCTGTCCATCCATCATCCTCCTGTCCATCATCGGCCATCCATCATCCTCCCATCATCATCCATCCATCCATCATCCATCCATCCATCCACCCATTCATCATCCGCCCGTTCATAATCTATCCATCCATCATCCTCCCATCCATCATCCACCCATCCATCATCCGCCCGTCCATCATCTATCCATCCATCATCCTCCTGTCCATCATCTGTCCGTCCGTCATCTGTCCATCCATCATCTGTCCATCCATCATCCGTCCACCCATCATTCGTCCATCCATCATCCGCCCATCCATCATCCTCCCATCCATCATCCGTCCATCCATCATCCGCCCATCTATCCATCCTCCATCCCTCCCTCCACATCTCCCAGCCCCAGCCCCTGTTCTGGGCCAGATCCATCCTTCTGCCTCCACCTAGAACTGCACCATCAAAACCCTGTTAGAAAGCCCCTCAGAGAAAACAATCCCTTACTGCTCTTGGTACATTTCAGCTCTCCCTACCAATTTTATTGTTGTTGTTAATCCTCACCGAGGATATTTTTTCCATTGGTTTTTAGAGAGAGTGGAAGGGAAGAGGGGGACGTCAATGTGAGAGGCACACATTGAGCAGATGCCTCCTGCACACACCCCATCCACAGCCAGGGACCTAACCTGCAACCCAGGTACATGCCCTTAACCAGGAATCAAACCCACAACCCTTCAGTGCCCAGGCCAGTGCTCTAACCACTGAGAAACACCAGCCAAGACTCTCCCTGCTCATTTTAAGAAATGTTCTTCCTGCCCAGTCATCATGGCTCAGTGGCTGAACCTCGACCTATGAACCAGGAGGTCACGGTTCAATTCCGGGTCAGGGCACATGCCTGTGTTGCCGGCTCCATCCCCAGTGTGGGGTGTGCAGGAGGCAGCCAATCAATGACTCTCTCTCATCATTGACGTTTCTCTCTCTCTCTCCCTCTCCCTTCCTCTCTGAAATCAATAAAAAGACTTTTTAAAAAAATAAAATAATACTTTCTTCCTATTAGCTAACGTGAATCTCTTCTGTCTGGCTGAAACCTGGTTTGGGCTCTTTTAGGGGCAGGAGGGAGCACCCCTGTCTCCCCCCTCCCCCCCCCCCCCCCCCCGGCGGAGCACCGGCTCCTGTACCGCCGGCCGGGCCGCCTCCGCCGCTGGCTGAGCTGTTCTGCTTGGCGTTCTCGTGGAGGAGCTGGAACCAGTCCCGCAGGCGATCCCCCAGGTCGGCCAGGTCCTGGCCCGTGCAGGTCTCTGCAGAGAGGGGGGGGGGGGGGGTGAGGGAAGCATGTCTGAGCTTGAGATGCTGCCCTGTAGGCAGGAGGTGGGCAGCTGTCAGGGACGCTGTAGAAAGGGAGTTAGGAACTGGAGGCTCCTTCCCCGCCCTCTCCCACCTTCTTCCTCCCTCTCACTCCCCAGCACAAGACACAGCACGGGCTCCCTCCTGCTCTGTTAGCCAGCCCGCCCGCCCGCCCGCCCCGGCCGTGCCCGCTCCTCGTTACCTGCTTTGCCATCCGTGGTGGAGCTGGCAGCCTGCTCCGTGGGGCAGGGGCAGGGGCCCTCGCATCTCACCGCCAGCTGCTTGCTGCTCAGGCAGGCCTGCTGCTCCAGCTTACACTGCACAAGGCCAAAGGGCGATGGGCGACGGGGCCTCACCCCAGGGTGCCCTGCAGCTGGGGGCATCTAGTTGGCAGCCACGTCTGCCTTCCCCGTGGCTGACAGGAGGACAGGGCCCAGGAACAGCCCACCTGGGCCCTCTGGTGGCCACAGGTGCACAGCGCAGGGGGCAGCAGGCTCAGGAAGGGGCTTAGCAACAGAAGGCGCCCAAGTACCCCACTGGACACCAGACTGCTTTCTCTGCACCTTTCTCTTTTCCAGGACTCCCATGTCCTCCTCCTCTCACCCCCAGCCACCCACCTGCCCTGTTAGCGATTCCCCTCTCGTGCCCTCATGGCCTCTCCTCCCGCCCACCCAGTCCCTTGGCCCCCGGGTCACGGTCTGCTGGCCCCCTCCTTCGATGGCCCTTTGCTCAGCTCTCAACAACAAACAGCTACGGCTACTGAGCATCTGCTAAGTCTTGCTCTTTCACTGAAACCGCTGGGCAGCAGCTGTCAGCCAGAGCCAGCTGCTGAGGGGCTCCCACTCCTGCCCTTAAGGCTTTCCCCGGGCGGGGGCTGCCTGTCACAGCACCGCCTCCAGCATGAGCTCCCTCCGTCCCTCTAGCTCTGGGGGAGAATTGTGTTTCTCGTGCTCAGCAGAGAACACGGGCCCTCTGAGGGGCCCAGGGCCTGGGGCGGAGGCCAGACCTCCTGATGCCTCCACCTCCCAGGGACAGCGCCACGACCTCAGACCACAGCCCGCTCTGACGCCCGCGCCCTCTGCCACCCCGTCTCCTCGGTCTCCCCCTGCCTTCTCGCCGCAGCTCCTGGCCTCGGCCTCCAGCTGTAGTCTCTCTCCCCTCCCTCCCTCCCTTCATCCCCACCCACGGGGAGGGCGGGCGGGTTCTTAAACCTGCACCTCTCCCCCAAAGGGCTCTCCAGCCCTAGATCCCCGCCCACAGCCTCCTCCAGACTCCCAACGCCCCGCGGCTGGTGGGAGCACTCACAGCTAGCACCGTACTGCCATGGCATTCTAATGTTTATAAAACGCTTTCACAGACATTGTATCGTTTAATCCTCACAAACATCCCGTAAGGCGGGAAACCCTTCCCACACCGTCAGCTCCTGGAAGGGTGACCCTCCTGCCCCAGAATGCCCAGTGCTCGCTGGGGAGCCCCATCCCCTCCCTGTGGAACCTGCTGGGGGCGAGCTCGTCCTTCTTCCCCGGTCACTGGCCCACAGAGCTCCTTCCTCCCACAGCCCTCGGGACTGTCAGGAGGCCCCTTCCTCCTTTCCTCTAGCTCCTGTCCCCTGCCCCTCTGCCTCTTCCACGCCCCACCCGCTACCTGCACCTGCCTGAGACCAGGGGTGGGTCTGGTACGGGCCCTCGGTAGCCCCAGCCCAGGGCTCAGGTGCTCCTGCTCTGATTGGCTACATGGAACGCACTGCCACTAACCCTGTGGGACCCCCATCAGCCCTGGGAGTCCCTCAGGAGGCCCTGATGGCCGTTCAGTCCTCTGTTCCCTGTGGCCTCAAGGGCATCCCACCCTCATCCCCAGGGGGCGAGGGTCCTCACCACGGAGCTGTACGTGTGGCCGTCAGAGCCGCAGACGGAGGCCAGCTGGGCCATGTGGCAGGGCTTGCAGGCGGTCTCTTTGTTTGCATGGAGTTTCAGGGCAGGCTGCTTGATCCTGCAGGAGGGAAGGGGTGGGGAAGGCACGGGATGGAGGTGAAAATGAGGGAGGGCCCCGTGCCTAGGAACAAAGGCCTCGGGCCCATCGCTGTGTCAGGCGCTTGGGGGAGTGAATCCTCCAGCCCCAGTCCAGCCTGCAGATGAGACAGCCCCCGCCCGCCTGCATCTTGGCTGTAACCTCGCGAGAGACCCTGGGCCAGGACCATCTGACAGAACCAGGTTCCTGACCCTCATACAGGGTGAGATAGCACATATTTGTTATTTGAAGACACTGCGTTCTGCGTTAGGTTGTTTCCCGGCAATAGGTGGCTAATTGGGTGAGTCCAGCCCGCGCTCTCTAAGCGAAGCCCCCCCGCCCCCACGCCGCTCACCTGTGCTCCAGCTTCTTGCGGCTGATGCACATGGCCCGCTGGAAACCCTGGGCGACGCACACCTTGTGGCGGCTGCACTTGACCTTCTGGCAGGGGTCCTTGGTGGTGTCCAGGGCTGCGGGCACACGGCCAGAACGCAGGTCAGCCGGGAGTCGGTGCCAGCGATCCCCGGAGTCCCTCGCCTCACTCCTGAGCCCGGAGGTCCCTGCCTCCAGCAGCTCCCGGTAACCCCTCAGCTCCTGGACTTTCCCTCCGGCCTCCAGTCTTCCCGGGTGTCAGCCACCCTCCCCGGCCTGGCAGGGGCGTTACCTTCATCTCCTTGCTGACTGTCCTCCCAGCTCTTGATGTAATCGTCCTGGGAAAGCACAGAGGGGGTGGGGGGGAAGGGAGGGGCTGAGGCTCACATCCCAGAGTGGAGGTTCCGCTCCAGGGCCAGGGAGGACAGGCCGGGGCCACTGAGGGCACAGGTAGATTGTCACCATCTTGGTGGCTGCTCAGATGGCCCTTTTCTGCCCAGGCCCTGCCAGCGGCCTCCCCCAAACCTCTAGTCCCCTAAACCCATGTCCAGAACCCCTTCCAGCTTCTTCCATAAGCTCCTTTTCCACCCCGCCCCCACCCCGCCAATCCCACACTGGGTGCTACGGGGAAGCCTGGCGAGGGTGCAGAGAGAGGAGGGGGGAGTGGAGCATGTGGCTGCCGAGCAGCCCCGGGGTACTCACCTCCACCTCCTGGGGGCCGGGAAGCAGCCGCAGGCCGTGGGGAAAGAAGCGGGAGGAGAGGGGGAGAGGGGGATTTCAGTGAGGCCCACCCTCAGACCCCTGACCCCAGGGCTCCCAGCCTCCTCGGGTGGCTGTGGGGCCCGGGCCCTGGTCTTTCATCGCTACGGTCCTCTGCCCTCTGAGCCTCTCACTGGAGGCCAGTGTTCCTGTGTCTTCACCGCAGACAGCCTAAGGCCTGGCCCGCGTAGGGTCCGCCCAGGAGCAGTAGGGGTGAGGCCCGCGGCGTTGAGAGGGTGAGGCCCGTCCCCCTCCCCCAGACCCTGAGGCTGTTCCCAACTGCTCAGAGGAAAGAGTTCTCAGCCTGTGCCCCGGGTGGCCCAGAACCACCACCTCCCTCTGCAAGGGTGCGTCCCTTGCCAGTCCCCTCCCCGGACCTCGCCCACCGTGCCCGAGGCGGAAGGGGGCCCTTCCTAGAGGTGGCACGGGGGCTGCTTTCCCTCGAGGTCTGCCCTCCTGCAGAGCTCAGGTGGCGCACGGAGAGAAAGGGGGCCGCGTCCTCAGGCACCAAGGTCCCGCCACAAACCCTCAGGCTCCCAGGGGCTGAGAGGCCCTCTGAGGCCACCGGGCCCAGCCCCTCTGTGACAGGAGAGGCCGGAATGCCCGGACACAGGACACGGCCTGACCCCGGTGGCACCATCACAGAACCCGGGTCTCCTGACACCAGCACACACCTCTCTTCCGGCTACGACACACAGTCCCCAACCGGAGGCACCCGGACGGTCACCCCCACCTGCTCCGGCCACAGGGGCTGTGGACCGAGGAGCGGCTGAGGCAGCGGCTCCACAGAGCCCAGCTCACTGGCAGGACACTCCCTGCACGCCCGCTTTCCCTCCTTCCCCCTGGGTGGGGGTGGCACTGCTGAGCCCTGGCAAACAGGGTGCTTCGGGTGGGAGCTCTGCCAGGCAGGCAGGAGGGGAGGGCTCCTCGGGACAGGAGGCTGGCCGTGCCGAGGAGCCAGCTGCTGGCCTCCTCTGGATGGAGGCAGAGGGCCATGAGGAGCCGCACACCCTGCCCACTCAGCCAGGGTCCCGGCCCCCGCGGGTCAGAGGTGGAAACGGGCCAGATGCCTGTCACGCCTGGGGGGTGAGGGGAGGGCACGGGGCTCCTGATCACAGGGCAGCCGCAGGGGACAGCAGGGGCACAGGGGAGGGCAGGCACCGCGGCGAAAGCCCCGGGCTCGGGGCCTCTGCCGTCTCCCTGGAGGTGGACTAGCATCAGAGCAACCGCAGGGGCAGGGGCCTCCTCAACGCGGCTTCTAGGCAAAGGCCGGGCAGCGGGCAGGGCCGGGCAGGCAGGGGGGTCAGCACCCGGCAGAGTGCACGTGGTCACGTGTGTCCTGTGTGCTTCCGCACACGGGTGCGTGCGTGCGTGCAGGTCCTCGTCTGTGAGCACGGGTATATGAGCACACACGTGTAAGCAACATGGGAAACCAGGACACTTCGCGGCGGCTCACCCAATGCCAGGTGGCTTTTATCCGGGAACAAAGTGCCAAACCACTTCTCCCAGCGGCCTCAGCTTTCACACTTCGGCAGGAAGGCCCTCCTTTCCGCCTGGCCTTCCAGACTCTTCCGCTGAGAGGGCGAGGCAGGGCAGGGAGGGCAGGAAGGGCGGCGGCCAGAGCCAGCGGCCTCTCCCTGGGAGGAGGGCCTGGCTTGCACAGCTCTGCGCTCTCTGTCCTGCTTTCCAGGCATCTCTTTGTTCATGTCCCTCCGTGTCTCTCTTCTTTCCTCTCCCCTTCACTCCGCCCACGCCTGTCCTACCTCTAGTCCCAGCAGCCCAGTGTCCGCTGTCCCTGAGCCCGGGAGCCGGGAGCCGCAGGAAGAAGCCTCCGAAGGGGCTTCCGGAGAACCCGGCCTGGCCGCCCCCGGGCACCGGGCCGTCCAGCCCCGCTCCAGGCTCAAGCGCCGCCTGAGCCCGGGGCAGGAGAGGGGTGAGGAGAGGGGTGAGGAGAGGGGAGAGGGGTGAGGGGTGAGGAAAGGGATGAGGAGAGGGGGGAGGAGAGGGGTGAGGAGAGGGAAGAGGGGTGAGGGGTAAGGGGTGAGGAGAGGGGAGATGAGAGGGGTGAGGAGAGGGGTGAGGAGAGGGGAGGGTTGGAGTGAGGAGAGGGGGGAGGAGAGGGCCCGGGGCCGCACAGGATCCCCCTCCCTGCAGCGCCCGCGGGCGAGCACCTGCCTGTGGGGCTGCACCTGCCTGTGGGGCTGCACCTGACTCCCAGGCTGCAGGCAGGAAAGGAGAAGCGTCTGTGAGGGGCTCGGTGTCCAGAACACACAACAAGCGAAAGCCGTCGTAGTGGAGGAGAGAGCGTGCACTTGGGGCGGAGGAAATGGTGGGGGATCAGAAACAGGTAGAACGAGGCCCAGGGAGGAGAGAGGCCACCAGGGACAGCAGAGGCCGGTGCGGACGGACGGTCCCTCCGAGACCCGAAGCTCTGGCGGAGGAGAGCACGTCGGTGTCACCTGCTCCGCGCGGCCAGTCTGACCCCCGCACCGCGCTCAGCTCGGCTCAGGGGCTCAGGGGCTCAGGGAAGCACGCCTGGTGCGTTAGAAGTGAGTCCTCAGTCATGTGTGTACGTGCCTGCCTGCCTGCCTCTCCCCTCTGCATCCCGGGAAGCAGGCAGGACGGGAATCAACCCCGTAAGACAGCGAGGAAGCCGAGGCTCAGAGGCCGAGCGACTGGCCAAGCGTCACAGCCAGAATGGAGCGTGAGCCGGGCCGGCCTGGCCCCGAGGGGCCCCGTGGCCCCGGGCGGGCAGGCGGGTCTCTTGCTGAGAGAGGAGCGGAGCGGGGACTGAGGGGGCAGAAAAGGGGGAAGAGGGCTTTGGACCAGAGTCTGCTCTAAACTTGGCTCACGTGGGGCCTCAGCAAGTCACTCCCCCTCTTGGGGCTGAGTCCCCCTCTGTGCCAGGGTCCCTCTCAGCTGGGGCTGCCCGGAGAGCCCCCCCAGAGCCCATCAAACATCTGCAGCCCAAGCGCCCCCTGAGCCGGGGCAGGCTGCTGGGGGTGGCTCCCCGGGGGCTGAGCAGGCAGCGGGCGGCCTCCGCACCAGCTCCGGTCTGAGGCCTCCAGCCCCGCATCTCCTGTCCAAGGCCCCTCTCCTCCTCTCCGGCCCCGCCCTCTCTTCACTCCCTGCGGAGCCTGAGGGGAAGAGGAGCAGCTTCCTCTCCCGGGAGGGAGCCCACCCCCAGCTCTGCCGGAGGACGGGCTGCCCACGGCCCCGCGGAACCGGCTCCTGCCTGCCAGGCCTTTCCCGGGCACCGCATCCGCCCGCTCCAGGCTTACGGCATCCGCCTGAGGCCAAAGACGCTGCCCTGTCCTTGCCGCCCCCCTGACCACTCCCCGCCTCCTCCTCTCTCTGGCTCGCCCTCCCTTCGCTCAGCCTCCTCTCCTTCCCTGCCAGCCCTGGCCTCAGTCCCGGCCCGCCCCCAGGTCTCCCCGCGTCCTCCCCTCCACACGGGTCGCTCTGCACAGTCTGAGCACGTCTCTGCCTCCCCACAACTCTTCCCTGCGGACAGAGACCAGAGGGCTCCCCTGTCGGTGCCCAGCACCAGCACCAGCACCAGCACCAGCACCAGCACCAGGACCAGCAGACCGCTCCCCTCTTTCCAGCAGTCCGCGAGGAGGCACTGTGCTGCCCCTTTACGTTCATGGGCTCATTGACTCCTCACGACGACCTTGAGACAGTGGCTGTTGTTACCCCATTTCTCAGGTCACAAAATCAAGGCTTAGAAAGGTGCAGGGGCTTATCAGGATCACACACCAACTGCACAGCAGAGGAGTTTTGGTGGCCCCAGGACTGCGATTCCAGAGCCTGCACCCCCCAACCAAGACTCGGTGCTGCTCTAAGTCCCAGGCCCGGGGCTGGGCCCAAGAGGCCCGTCCCAGCCAGGGAGGCTTCTCCCATTCCCCCAGCTCTGCTCCCCCCTCCCCGCAGGAGGTCCTGCAGCAAGCAGAGAGGAGGGACTGGCAGTGGCGGGGGGGGGGGGGGGGGGGGGGGAGACACTGCACCCCCCACGCCCACCCCCTTCTCCAGGCACTTTCCAGAAACCCCTCGACATGCCCCTGGGTCGGCTGGTTTGGCGCTAACCCATCTCCTGCTTTGATCTCCGAGGCTCAGTTCTGTTGCCATGGAAACGGAGCCCACCGTGCCAAACCGGGGGAGAGATGGCGGGGAGGGCGCAGCCAGGCCGCCCCGAAGGGCACACGCTGGGTGTTTCCTCGCAGTGTTTACTTCCTGTCACTTTAATTAGCGCCCAAATCACCCGCTCACTTCACAGCTTGAATTAACCCCCTCTCTCCCGGCCTCCCCATCTGGAGGGGGGGAGGAGACGCAGCAGGAAGTGGAGCAAAGGAAGAGCAGTCCTTCCTTGGCCCCAGCTTCCTGGGCTAAAGCCCCGGCCCGCAGCGGAGCCTGCAGGCCACCGAGCCCGCCCTCCCGGCCCCCCCTCACAGGGGAGATGACGGCCTGCCTTCCTCCGAGAGCACTTTCCGCCGGGAGGCTCTGCACTTGCAAAACCACAGAAGATCCCGGACGCTCAGTCTTTGGCACGAAAGGTGGGAGCTTGGGGAAGGGGTGGACA